CATAACAGCCTCCTCTTCTTCAGGCTTAACTAACCAATTCCCAGCATTTCCTTGTAGATCATGTGATGCTCCAGGTCCGTATCGTCTGGGTAGCCTCCCTCTGCTGCAGTATGGCAGTGTCTTTCACTTAGTAGGAAGCTCAGAATTGGACACAGCACTCCAGACAGGGTCTCACAAGCCCCAAATAAGAGGCAGTAATTGCTTGCTGAATACACTTTTTAACATAGCCCAAGAAGTGGTTGATGACCTTTGCTGCAAGGACACACTGCTTTGGGAAAAAAATACGTGTGTAGATAACTAACTATGAAGGAAAAAGAATATAGCTGAAAATCAGAAAACCAGGATGTGGATCTCTTGTCTCATTGGTCATTGATTTGAATCTAGATGAACGTTGGCAAATCTGGTTATAGGCAGCTTCTGTTGGATGACCATTTATTACCGTATGTGAAACTAGCAGTTGATTTGAGATTCACCACCACCGTCACCGTTCCGTTACTCTTTGTATATTTATAACAACTCACTAGAATCAAAAAGCTGTGTAGACTCTATCAAGATTGTTAGTTGAAATGTAGACTATCCCTTACTTATTAATGTGCCTAAATACTTAATAAAAAACAAACCCAAATGTTAATGCTCCAAAGTAGGAGCAGGCATGCAAATTCACTACAATTTTATATATGGTATGACCTAGACCACACAAGTTTTCTTTTTATTATTCACTTATGCTCTACTGCAGGAAATAATTTCTTAGTTTTAACATTATACTAGCTCATAGGCAGAGAGATGGGACACACAAGCCTACTCTTTTGGTTTTATGGCGGACTTAGAAGGGTAAGTCAGCCAACACAGAAGTAAAGCTCTCATCCATTAGCATCCTTCTGTTCCCACATGTAGGGCCAGAACCACGAATGGACTATATATGGTTACATGGCCATTGCTCCAAAGCTACCTCTGTATTTTGTCCAGGAGCTTTTAACATGAGCTGGAAGCAGTCCTGAGACCAAGGTCTTGAACCCACGTCTCCCTTTTCGTAGAAAGTGGCTGCTGTTCTGGTTTTTTGGTGCTGTTCTTGGCCCAGCAAACCTCAGAAGGTTGAGTGGAAAATGCCCCAACTCCAACTAGTTGGTGCTTGTGGTTGTCTCTTGAACAACAGAAAATGGAAACTTGAAACCATGGTGCTGATATAACTTCCAGTGAGCTCTTTTCCAAGAGTTTTCTTTAAGAAACAATCAATAGCTTGTTACCATTTATTTGTAGGACATGCCTAGAGCATGTGGGTGTGGAGGGCGATAGTGGAAAGCAGCCTTAAAGTTGGAAGGGCTCAGAAAGCATCCCTTTCTCCTCCTCTTGGTTTGCTGGTATAAGGTGACTGAAGAGAAGGAATTAATGAGAAGGGAAGGAGGAAGCCGGAGAAATAGAGCCCAGTCTCTCACTCAGCAGTTTGTCCTCTTGTGTGTATTCAGAGCATTCAGAATGAGAAACCCTCAGCACTTCTCTCCTTTCCATATGTATTTTCTTATGCCTTTTCTGTAACTCTTGATCAGAGTGATGGCACCTTCCAGCCAAAGACTAGGGAATGAGAAGAAATGAAAATAAATTCATTGCAGATCAAATGGATGATGGGCTTAGCGCAGCTAGAGCAGGCTGAATGGAGCAAGACTCTCCATGTGCTCTATTCCCAGTGCTCAGCCATGAATCTTTTTTCCCGGCCTGTGAAGATAATGATGATGTTGTTGTTACTTTTCCTTACTTTTGTGAAACAACTTTCAGACATAAAACTTTGGGGTTCTGAGCTTCATGTTTACTTGGCAAAACTGTGAAGCCTGGTCAATATCTGAATATGTTGAGGAAAACAAAAGGTACTGGAGGAAACAGTGTTGGTATGTTGGGGGTGGCATCATGTTCCATCTGAGTCTTAACTTGGTTGCGCTATTGCAAGACTATTCTTTAAGCTGAATTTAAATAACCAAAACCCAGTCAGTGATTTTTCAGATTCTTGGCATCTTTAGATTGAAGTAGGGTTGTAGTGCCAATGGTCTGAATGAAAACTTAAAGGGCAGCATTCCAGTGTATCTGGCAGTTCAACTGGAGAAAAGTGTGTTGAAGCAATCTGTATTTTGACTTGTATTCAGCTTTAATTACTGAATGCCACTCTGAAGAAGGTTATGTTTTAATGATGGATGAAATTTTTCCTATGAGTGGAAACATGTTTGATGCACAAAATGACGCCATATAAGTAGAGACTAAAAGAGTAGATTCCTTTATTTAGAAGAAATTAATGAGGGATTGTAATTAAAGTTTATAAAGTAACAAATAAAAGCAGTGAATTTTGCTTTTCTGTTTGACTCAAAAATTAGCAGCTTCTTTCCAAATGAAATTAAAAAATAATACTTCTAAACTGGATACGTGGATATTTTTTTATGTACTTTGTTTATGAAGTTCATTACATAAAGTCATTGAAGCTCAAAAATTGAGAGAGCGAGCGTGAAAGTGTGACTGTAATACAACTGATAGTACAGCTAAAGACTTAAATTGGGATTTTTCTGTGTACAGCAGGAGTACTGAAGCCTGGTTTCCTATGGAGTTATATCCTATATTTCTTTAATAACTGTCCCACTGCAAGAAGGCAAATTTATACTCTTTTCTCTCTCTCCTCCCCCACCCTCCCCGATTTTACAACCCCAGCTGGTTAATCCAGACTAGTTTGCCTCACTGTATGCTTGTTTGAATTGACCATTTGGGCAACCTGGTGTAGTGGAGGGTTTCCCTGCCCATGGCAGGGGGGTTGGAACTAGATGATCTTTGAGGTCCCTTCCAACCCTAACCATTCTATGATTCTATGATCAGGTGATTCTGCAAATGGACTATAAAACAGGTAAGTTTTTAAGGACTATAAATCGTTCATTACATAGGGTAATCTCTAACTGGAAAGCTTAAGGAAGGAGCTCTCCATATGAGCAAGAATTTCTCATTTTGAGATTCCTTGAACTTTGCCTGGAAGTAGTCAATAGTGGATTAGTCTGAGTTTTGTATAGTGATTCCTCTGCATATAGTTTGACATGAGCTTTGCAATTGTTTTGGGTTCAAGGCACTACGTGTGTCTAAGGGCCTGCACAAGACAAGCATGTAAATGGATTGTGTCCCTGCGTTAGAATTCTCCCCCTTTCCAGATTTTGGTGTGATGAGTAAGTTATAGTATATATATGCAATCCTAATGCTCAAGCTAAGCTCCTCTGATCTGTGACCAGCTGGAAGACTTTTTAGGAGCTATTGTCTTTCCTGTTTACATCTCAGTTTATACTTAAATGAGCATTACCAGGTATCCTAAACCTTTTTAATGAGCTTTAGCAAATCAGCAGAGTTTGCTTCAAGATGTGTGGGTTCTACCATCTCGCAAAGTTGTGCCTCAAGGAAGGGGGAAGCTGCTGATGTACCTCGTCTCACCTATCCCCACCTCTGCTGTAGAGCTGTGGTTATATGGCTGATTCCCATTCGTTAGAAGACACGTGGAATTAGCTATGCAATGCATTTACGCCTCAGGGCAAGTTCCTTTCCAGCACACAGTGCAGGAAGATTCTAACTGAAGTGGAGAATAAAATTTTTATGAACTGGGACTTCAGCGCTCAAGTGCTGTAATACGCTTTCAGCTAATTTCATCTTTAAATACGATAATTAATCCACTTCAGTTTGTATTCAGATAAGAAATGTCATTCATTCTGTATGAATGCAAGTATCTGTATAAAATGGGTGACTTACAGTTTGGTTGTGGCTTAGATATTTTTTAAATGATTTAAGCTAGATAGATAAGGTTATACTGATGTATTTGTAAATTAATTGGGGCATTGGGCTGTGTATTGGGGGAAAATATGATTTATAAAACTCTGTGTAATTAGTTATGGTAGATATCTGTGTTCAAGAAGAGCCCTTTTTTAAAAAGTGATGTAACTCACTGATGAAAGCCAGGTGGGACACAGTAAAGATCATTAAATGTTGCCATGTTTGGGGGATAATCAAATCCCAAAGATCCACCAGGCCTTGGTTCCCAGGCTCTGGCGTGAAGGCATCAGGCTGGAGTTGGTCTGGGGACACCTGTATTTTAGGATGGAAAAGTGTAACAGTGTTTCATGTCAGTCTCATGATGTTCTTCAAGAAAAAATAATAATTAAAAATAAAAGAGCCCTTAATAAGTGTGATTACTATTTAGAGCTTCAGCTAAATCGAAGTAGTGGGAAAAAAATACGTTTTGTTTGACATATTTGTGCATATTATTTCGTATGAAATTTAACCTGTCATTTACCCCAAGTGGTTTTAGGTGCCAAATCTTTCCAGCAGCTTGCCATGAAATGTCTGTTATTACATGAAAATATTGTCTTTCTCAGTGGTGTATCACCAAACCATTGTCAAATTCCCTAGCCTTACTGAGAAGATTGAGTTTGCGCGGATATAGCTCAGTACAATGAAGTTTAACACATCCCATTTTACTGAAAAAATTTGCTTTTGTCCACTGTAACGAGTGTAATCATACGGTACATAAACAGAAACCTGCATTACAAAAGAGAAGAGTTCAACATGTGTCATCCTGTGCCTGTTACCAAAAACAGGGATGGAATGCATGTTCATAAAATCCAGTTTTTGACTGCAGAAAACGAGAGCACGAGTGAGCGGCTGCTCTGCCAGTTCTGCACAAAAGCTCTTGGGCAGTGGCTCAGATATGAAATGCCCAGATACTTAAAGGTTTTGGTTGGGTTTTTTTTTAAATTAAGTGTGCCCTTTGGAGAGCCAGCGTCCTTCAGGTGATGAAGTAATGGATGATGCAGTTTAAGTTACCCACAATTTTGCTGTAGTGGGGAGCCAAAACAGAGACTATTTAAGAGCTTTGTCTGACGGCTTCGGCTCTTGCCATTACCTGGGGAAGGGGCAGTGGGAGCCCCGTGCTCTCAGAGATAATCGTGTGCCGGCATTGCCGAAACCCACCCTGTTGTGCCTGTGTTTTCTGACAGCTGCAGGAAGCCATCAAGGCGGGCAAAGGTGTGACTTCTGCCATCGACCTCTGCCGCTGCCACGGAAACAGAGCGCTGGCAGCCCTGGAGCACTTCCCTCCCTCTGAGGCCAGGGCCGCCTTGGCCAACATCGTCTACGCCGTGACCAGGTTTCCCTGACCCGCCGCCCCAGGAAGAGCTGCTCTCCCTCCGCGGGCGGGAGCAACCTGGCGGGGACGCCGACGCCCCGCACCGCTGGGCACCTCATCCCTCTGTCCCGTCCCGATGGAGGAACGCACCCTGGCTGCCACTGCCGCCACTACCAGCAAAATTCGGGAGGGGGAAGAAAAAAAAGGTCACAGCCAGTTTTCGCTTGTCGTGCCAGAAGCGCACTTGAGGCTGCACCGGTAGAAATAATTAATGAGTCCCGTTTCCGTGACCTCAGCAAATGGACAGGAAATAAGTCGGTATTGATTGGGCACTGGCGGGGGCGGCGCCCGGGGGGGGGGCCGGTGGTTTTCCTGCCCGAGGGAGGGATGGAGGGGTGTGAAGACCCAGGTGTCACAAGAAACCTGCTCAAACCTGCCTGGAGAGAGCGAGCCGCCGAAGCTGGGAATTAACGTACCTGCTTATCAAGGGGAAGGGCAGTTCGGGGGATTAATGGGGGAAAATCCTCTCTCTGTCTGCGTGCAGTCGTGTCTCTTCACACTGTTTTTATGTATTCAAATGTGAAATCACCCTGTGCCTAATGCTTTCCGTGTTTGAGAAACTTGCTGGGAAAATGTGTCAAGCATGGTAAGTAGGAGCTTTAAAATATTTAATCGAGTATTAGTTTGGCTCTGTTAAGGGAAGTGACTGCCTGGGTTTTATGCCGTGCGCATAAAATGTGTTGCCCTGGGTCAAAGAATGAGGTTTTTTCCATCTCTTCTGGGGGAGGGAATATCTCTCCCTCAGATCAAGCAGTTTGTTTCAACACAATCTTACACAAAAGAATTTCCTAGGTTTGTGACACTTGCATTTGTTTAAGCCAAATAAATGTTAATTTGTAAGGCCAGTCGTCGGCCTTCGGCAGAGATGAAGAAGGAAGGCTCTTCTGTGAGTACGGTCTTTCACCGCGCTGAATAAAACACAGAAAATACTGGAGAAGTTTTGAATCCCGGTGTGTTGAATTTTAAAGTCCGATTACAGACAGCATGTAAGGTGTATCAGAAGCCTGCAATGTGAGACCGTCTCTGTTTTGTTCATCGGAGATGATTTCTGTGGTTTGCACGCGTGCAATCCGAGAACGCCGTTGACAAGAAGGCTGAGTTTACATAAATGATCTAGATTGAGACTCAGCTACCTTTCTTCCTTCTGTGGTGTAATTACAGCCCGATCTGGAGACAGCTAGCACAGCAAACAGATTTCATTACATCGCTCACTCAAACACTAAGTGGAGTTATTTCTGTTAAATTCTCTCCTCCCTCCTTCTCCCCCTGCACTTTTTTCCCGTCACACAGCTTGTTTGTCGTAGACCAGCGTGTTGCATTCCACCAAATGTAAAATATAAATAAAACCTCTCTTCTCCAAAAATACACTGAAAATACATCCTGCATAACGTACATAATATTCTGTGTAAATATATGCCTGTATTATGCCATAATATTATATGTATAATAAGCACCCCTGAGACACAATCTTTGTATGGGAGCAGCATCCAGAACTCAGGACTCGCTTTGTTCTGGAGAATGGCTTCAACACCAGACCGCTTCTTGCTTGCGCTTTCTTTCTTGTGCCTGCCCTGGCCTTTTCGGTCTTCCCAAGACCCTGGCGCTCTGAGTCAGCGCTGTTGGTGCAGCAGGAAGGCTGGAGACAGAAGAGGAGCGCTGAGAAGGGTGGGTTAGCCCAGGCAGTGGCAGTCACAGGCATCTGCCTTAGCTAACCACCATACGTTTTCACCTGTGAAGTTCCGCTAATGTAAAACATGTGCTTGAAAGAAATACATAAATTCAGCCAGAGTCGTATTTCAGCTTTTGGTTTACTCTGTTTTTTACATATAGCAGGAGCTATACGTCTTTTTCTTTTTGTCTTACATCTGCACTAATTCGTTCATAATGATTTACGGCTGCAAGAAGCTTGAGTCTGCTGAAGATATTCTGAGCCATCTCAGTCCCATCAATTGTGTGAAAGAAAGAAGCATATTGCAAAACTGTGTACACCTGGTTTATTTTTTTCATGAAAGTACAATTTTTGTATTTGTACTTTTTACTAATAAAGGCAAATTGGCAAACATTAATGACTTTTTATATTTTCATCACCAGAAAGTTCTGATTGCCCTTAAACTATTCTTCAACCTTAATAAAAAAAAATACTGTCCCTTACCATATTATCAAGTAATCTTATATTTGATATTTTCCTATAATTACTGAGAAATTTTTGTTGTCTGGTTTCTACCTTTACCTACAATGTTTGTGGTAGGTAAACTACAAGCAAAGTATTATACCCTTCTGTCAAGCTCTTGGTGAATTAATGACTGCTGTGTATTAACATACTCTCCACACCTTATACCATTTCTGAGCAATCGTGGAACCTTAAGACTGTTCTGGTTTTATTTCTACTTTCGTGATTCCTTTTCCCCACCCACCACTATAAGGAGGTTGGGGAGGGGGAGGCCTGTGATCTGGAGGGTGACTTCAGTTGACCAGACACCTGTAGCTGTGTTCTCTTCAGCTGCGTAGGCTCTTGCCTACAGGACGATGGAGAGCAAGAGCCTGTCTCAGGTGCTCAGAGGTGCCATCTCTTTCGTAGGAAACACAGAGTCTTCATTTAAGGACCTGATGTTTATGGTCTGAATGGCAGTATGATAGAGCCCCTAATCTGGGTTGTATCAACTTTAGTATAGACATTGTATAATATGTAATGAAATTATCCGTATGCTTGGATTGAAAAAAAAAAAAAAACCAAACAATGAGATAACTATTTTGAAGATCTTGTGCTTTTTTAATTTCCTAATGACCAACAGCTTGCAGAACGTACATTGATTAAAGACTTTGGGGAGTGTAATGGGTTTGGTTTTTAGCAAAGTTAAGGACATAAGCCATTTCCTTTCCATGCCCTTGCATTTCAGAAGAGCTTTGGCATAGAAAATTGCACCTTATTTTTATGTCTGCTTTTCCTTACTGCCGCCAATGTTCCAAGCCAACACATCAGCAACTCAACCAGGCATACTCATCAGCTGCTCCTCTGCACTTATCCCAGATATTGTGTTGCTGGACCATTCCACAGGTGTGCAAAACACAGAACAAGCTCCCAATTGCTCATTAAACCAAACTAAATTCATCTCCTCCAAAGAGCACGTCTGCAGTGGTTAGAGCGGCTGTTTCATAGGTCTGTGGTGGAAAGTCATTTGACTGCCAGCTGAGTATTTCCAGTTCCACAATTGTGATAACACTGCATAGGAAGGTTGTTTGGAAAACGAGGTGCCTAGAACAGAAATGTTGGCTGGAAGGGACTGCTGAAAGTCATCTAGTCGAATCTCCTGTTTAGACTGTTGCCAACATGAAGTCTGCTCCTGGAAACACCAAGGATGGAGCTTCCACAGGTTCCACACGCAGCCTGTCCCAGTGCTGCTTCACCCACCTTGTGAAGGAGTTTTGCTGATGTCCAACATGAACCTCCCTCACCATAGCTGGTGGCCGTTGCCCATTATTTACCACCTGCCACTGCCAACAATTCTTTGGCTCTGCTGTCTTTGTTCATTCCCTGTTCTGCAGCTGTGTGCTGCAGTTTGATTGCCCGTTAGCCTCCTCTTACTGGCCCCAGCAGCCCCAGCTCTGTCAGCCTCTCCTGGTGGCCATGTGTGCTAGGCCATGGCTAAAGGAGTTGCCTTCCTGTGACCTGCATGACTTTCACATCATCCCTGTTGGGCTGTGAGCCCAAAACAGGCCAGTTCAGGAGCAGCCTTACTAGGCACAGTAAGGAGAACAAAAATTTACCCTGATGTACTGGGTCTTGCTATGATGGAGTTAATTTTCTTTGTAGCATCCCATATGATGCTGCATTTTGGATTTGTGACCAAAACGGCATTGCTAACACGCCAGTGTTCTAGCTATTGCTCAACAGTTCTTGCACAGTGCCAAGGCTTTCTCTGCTTCTCACTCTGAGGGGCTGGGAAGGAGCACAACTGGGACAGCTGACCCGAACTAACCACAGAGCTATTTTGCACCACAGAACGTCATGCTCGGCAATAAGAACGGGATGGGATGTGCGGGTATTCCAGGGGGTCTGTTGTTTGGGAACTGTCTGGGCATCAGTCAGCTGGTGGTGATTGCTTCTGCATCACTTATTTTTCTCGGGTTTATTTTGTTCTGTTTTCATTTTTTCCCCCCTTTACCTATTAAACTGTCTTTAACTCAGTCCATGAATTTTCTCACTGTTGCCCTTCTGGTTCTCTCCCCCATCCTGCTGTGGGGGGCAATGAGTGAGCAGCTGTGGGGTGCTTACCTGCCATCCAGAGTGAGCCCACCACAGTCCTCAGCACCCAGTCTGGGATGTGTAGGGTTCTAGGTAACGGGACATTTGACCAGAGTGTGCTAGAGGGAACTTACTATACATGTTTAGCTGTTGCTGGTTGTGATGTTGACTTGTCCTCGATGCAGGTTTATTTGTTCCTTTACCCCCTCCCTGTCATGTGCTCTCTCTTGCTGTACCTCAAATTTGAGAGCTTGTTACAGGCTGGCTTTGGCTTTTGCAGTTTGCTGTGCCATATAGCACTCAGTTGGGTTTTGCCCGTGAGAACTATGATGAAGGCGCTGGCCCTGAGCCTAATCTGGTATTTGGGCTCTGCATTGCTGCTGTCCCAGTACTTCGGGAACCATCTCGTGGAGACAATTAACAATTACACCTTTTCCCTCTTTTCCTCTGAGAAGCAATTTGTGGAGGATACAAAGAACAGCAGCTTCCCGTTCATCTACTACAGGGTAGGTGCTTTCCACCTCGTTACAATGACTCTTCAGTATCTTGAACATCCCTGAGTAATCAGAATGCTGACATTGATGTGTCTCAAGAATCTGTTTTTAGCTTTTCCTATGTTTAACTGACTATTTGGGAGTATCACACAGGGATGTGCCCTGAGGCAGTGTGTTCTTGAGTGGCAAACTGTGTGAAAGAATATGGGAAGGTATCTAGAACAGTTTTCACCT